AGTCATATTTAAAATTTTTTTAAATGTATTTATTGACTTTATTAAAAATTTGTTAAATCATTTTTATTTTCAATTATAGTTGACATACATTATTATATTAGTTTCAGGTGTATATCCAGTGATTACACATTATATAACTTAATAAGTGATCATCTCGATAAATCTCCCACCCATCTGACACTATACATAGTTATCAGACTATTATTTACTATATTCTCTATGCTGTACTTTACATCCCCACAACTATTCTAAAACAACCAATAAGAAAAAAGAAGGGGAAGAGAGAGAGAGAGATTGACAGAGAGAGAGAGAGAGAGAGAGAGAGAGAGAGAAATATTGATGTGAGAGAAACATCGACCAGTTGCCTCCTGTAGGAGCCCTGACCGGGAATCAAACCCACAGCCTAGGTATGTGCCCTCACCAGAAATCAAACCCAAATCCTTTTGGTGCACAGAACAATGCTCCAACCAAGCGAGCCACACCAGCAAAAGCCTTGAGTCATATTTATGGTTGGTCCCAGCATTCCAGATTTTTGTTTGCCTGACAGGTAAATACTCTTCACTTGTTTACTGTCATCTAGAAACCATTTAATTTTTAGTAATTTTGTATGTTTTTTCTTTTTTAAGTGAGCACTGTACTATGGTTAGTCTTTCTGGTTCCTAGAGCTGGATTTTGCAGCTCTCAATACTAAAGCAAAAGAGGTTAGTTTTCAGAAGTATGTCTTCTAATGGTGTTGAGCCTTTTCAAGAACCACCAAAGGATCTCTCTTCAATTACTCTGGTTAACCATAGTTCAATGTCATTGCTGTTGTGCTGCTTTACTTAATGCACTGAAGAACAAAATAAGGTATTTTGATAACTTGAGATTCTAGCTATCTTGACGGTTTGAGATAAAAAATGTTAAAAGACATGAGTCAAAGTTGATGTTTGAGATAAAATGTGTTGAAAGACATGAGTTAAAGTTTATGTGTGTGATGTGACTTAAGTCTGCAGAAAATGTGTTAAGTTGATGTTCATGCTTTATGTACATCTGCTGTAATTACTCCCTTGGACCTGGTTTCCTTGAGAAAGGCCATCTTAGCCTTAGAACTGGATTTCTCCTTGGAGAAATTTTAACATGCTTTGAAGAGATCAAGCAATAAATGAGTATGCTGAATACACAGTAGTGTATTTCTTCATGTACTTTAAGAAGCTATATGGGAAGAGTGGCTGTGTTGGCTTCATTATGTTCATGTCTTTGAGAGACAAATGATCTTTGAATTTACTTTTTAAATGTCCCTATATTCCAACCTCCCTCATCTGAGGGGTCCAGGTGAGGATACCTGTGCCACTGGAAGCATGGGCCCAGGACGGGCAAGTATGCAAGGCAAGCCCATCCAGCATGGGAAGGCTGGACACCAGGTCCACAGCCAACTCCCCTTGTAGCCCTGAAGGTCAGGATAGAGGGCAGAGGAGAAGGCAGTAATTGGGAGGGTACTTTTTAAACCTGAACTGCCTGAGAAATCCCAGTGTTACAGTGGAATATATTTTTCTGTCTTCAGCAGTAAGAAACAATTGAAAGAGAAATTAATGAAATTATTTGGAAAATGAAGTAAGATATGTTTGCATGCTCAGTTTTGTGGTACAGGCAGCCCACGCCTAGTACAAGGCTTCTAATTGTGCTCCTGGAATTGTGGAGTCTTATGGGAGTCAGGGTCCCCCCCGGGTAGAGAGGAGGAGGGAAGACTTTTTAAAAAGCAATGTTTTGTAGTATGTCTCCATAATTTCTTGCCTTTATTACTGATGTAACCTCCTAAGACCTAGGTGGTCATATTCTTCCCTGGTTTTGTGCTCTTCTAATTTCTTGTGCACACTGTGGCCATGATGAACTTTCTGAAGAACAACTCTGATGATGGGATGTCCTCTTAAAACCCTGAATGTCTACCCATAGGCTTTGGGATTTTATCATTAAGGGCTTTGATAGGAAACAATTTACTCCAGATGGTTCAAAGGAAGAGACTTTTAACAAAAGTATTATTCGCAGAGGCACAGATAAGGTTAAAGAAGCATGCAAGGAATGGGAAGCCACCCAGAGGCTAGCCAGGGTGGAAGCTGTTCCACCCTAGGGCTGAGGGATGCTGAGAAGGAATAGAGTTACTGGCCCGAGGTGAGAGTTCAGCTTCCCTGCAGAGAGCACAACCGCTGCTGCAGATAAGACGCCAAAGCAGAAAGTGGGGAAGAAATACCATGGCCTTTGCTCCTTCCTGTTCACAGACAACCCTCTGGAGCTTCCCATTATGCAAACTGTATGAGAAACCAACCCGCAGCAGTCAGCTTGTTAGGGCACGAAGCAAAGCAGAATAGATAGAAAATGGATCTGGGCAGGAGTGTTGGAGAGATATGGCCATTGATGGATCATTGGTACAGGGATTATTAAAAATAATATTTAAGTTGCTAAACAGTATTATTGGGTTGGCCAAAAAATTTGTTTAAATTTTTTTTGTACAATGGCTCTAGCAGTGCTTATTTGCCTTTAACTTCATTAGGAACAATTTTGTTAGATTGTACTGTGACAGCTGTCATATCAATGTGTATTTTTTTAAAAGTTATCAAAATTTGTGAATGTTGTGCAGCCATGTTAATCTTGAAGACGGAAGAAAATATGCAACATTTTCAGTGTATGTTTTATTATTTCAAGAAAGGTTAAAATGAAACTAAAGCACAAACAAAGGTTTGTGCAGTATATGGAGAAGCTGCTGTGAATGATTGAACATGTGAAAAGTGGTTTGTGAAGTTTCTTGGTACTATTGTTACAGAACAGAGCCAAGGATGGGTACAATTTACTATTACTGAAAGGACCCCCCCCCCCCACTAGGTTTGCTATGCCCGCTGAGAGAGGAAAGACGTCTCTCAATGTCCGAGATTTGACAAAAGAAAAGGAAATGTTCATTTAAAGCTATACAAACTTAAAGTAGTGACCCAATGTCTTCATTAAAGTATTAAAGTCTATTGGGATACCCACAGGTCCACACAGTCCTTCCTTCTCCCTCTGCCCTAGTCTGGGGTACCATATCTCAGGAAAAGAAGCAGAAGTCAGCTGTGTCGCTGCCACAGTCTCCAGTTAATCCAAAGCCATGTGGCACCTTCTCATGGCCCACCAGCCAGAGTCCTTCCATCCCTTTTCTTCCAGGCAAAGTCTCTCCTGCTTCCTAAGCCATGTGGCAAAAGGGAGCACCCCAAAGCCACGTGGTCCTCACTCTTGCCAAAGCCACATGGTTCTCTCTCTCACCAAAGCTGCATGGGTCCCCACTCTGCCAAAACCACGTGGTTCTCCCTTCGCCAAAGTTGCCGAGTCTGGGTTTAAACCCCTGTGTCAATCTTCCTCTGTACCCCCATTTCCGACTCCTCCCACAATCAGTTACACCTGCCAGCATTCCTGTATTATTCCAAGTTTACTGGGCTGCCACAGTGAGTCTGTGCAGGCATGGCCCCATGGTATGAGCCAATCATCTCCAAGCTCTCAGGCAGGAGCCATAACCAGGGGAAGTTGCCTCCCAGTTATGTTGGGTGGAAGTCACTTCTATCCCCCTGGCTCACAGCACTGCCACAGCTATTTAACATATCTATGAAACCAGTTAAAGGTTATAGATATGTTAAATGACCATATCAGAGGTTAGCTGCAAAGCTGTTGCTGTGCAAAACAGCTCTCAACAGCCCTGCTCCATGTGTCCCATCCCCCAGCTTAGCCTTGTTCTGGGGGCGGGGGGCGGGTCTGGACATCCTATATATTTTTCTAATATTTCCTGGATACCTTGAGATCTGGACCCCATTACAAAACTCTATTTGGGGACCCCCCCCTCTTGGCTGCACCCTGTTATACTGTTGACATTTTGGCCAAATACTTCTTTGCTGTGGATATGTTTTATGCATTGAAAGATGTTTAGCATCACCCATGGCCTCTACCCACTAGAAGCCGATAGCAAGAGATAGCTGACATACTCAAAATATCCAAATCAATAAAATTTTTGGTGAAAATGAAAAAAAAGTATTTTATTTTATGGAAAAATCTAAATGGACTCTTTGGCCAACTGCATATTATGAAGACTTAACGAGATGTTTGTGAAAGTACTTGTCACATAGTGGGTGCTGGGTGAATTAATATCATTTCTTGTTTATCACATCCCAGTCCCTGGTAGAGAGTTAGTGAAATGTCAGTTAAAGTAGTTTTGTACAGAAAGAGCAGCAAAAAAAGAAAGTCAATAGAAAACAAACAAAGAGCCACGTGGTTTTGGCAGGGTGCGGACCCCCTCTTTCCCAGGTGAAAGGGAAGAACCACGCAGCTTTGCCAGAATGGAGATCCCTGCAGCCAGGTGAAGAAGAAAGCCACATGCTTTTGGTGGAGTGCGGACTCCTGCAGCTTTGGTAGAAGAGGCCCACGCGGCTTTGAGGTGCCCTCCTTTGGCTGCGGAGCTTGAAAAGCAAGAGAGACTTTGACTGGAACTGGGTACAAAGGACTCTTGCCAGTGGACCATGAGAGGGTGCCACAGTACTTTGGATTAACTCGAGATCCTGCACAGTGACACAGCTGACGGTGCCAGCAGCCTGCAACACAGACGTGTGCTCTTTTCCTGATTTATGGTACCCGGAGTTGGGACAGTGGGAGAAGGGAGCGCTGTGTGGGTGTAGGTGTATACCCTAAAGGACTTTGATATTTTAGTGGAGGCATTAGGCCTGAATAGCATTAAATAAACATTTTGTTTCCTTTTCACAAATCTCTGGCATTAAGAGATGTCTTTCCAATTGGCGGCGGACAGAAGGGGCCCAGTAGATTTTAGTATTTTGTTTTGGGGAGGGGCACCTGTTGTATAGCAGTTTTGGGCATCCCTAGGTGGGCCAAATATTGTATTGCTCCTCCCTCGGACCTCCTCTTGTTCGGTAACAGTTTTAGCGTTCTTGAAACCGGAAAAGACACCAGAGTTCGGGCTGCCTGTCACTACCAAACCCAATAAGCAATGACAGCAATTGAATCTTTATGGGCACTTTATTCAGATGGTCAGCGATCTGAGAAGACAGCAGATTCACACCCTAACAGACCATCTTGTCTTGTCTTTACAGGCCAAGGTTTTTATAGCAGGGAATAAACAAAGTACAATGAGGGGGGTTGAAATTGGGGGAAAAATTAATTGGATTAGAAAAAAACAACTTTAGCATTCTTGCCCTGGGCGGTGGGGTCAGGCTGTGCCCCAGGCAGTGGTCTGAAGCTGTGTCCTGGGTGGTGGTCATCTCACTCTGGAGTACAATGGCTCAGATATCACCTTGAGTTGCTTGCAGTCCTTCTGAGAAACAAAGGTGGAACTGCTTATGGTCTCCTGGAGTCAAGGTGGGTCGTACCTTCAGTTCCTGGAACAAAAGCTTTTACATGCATTGATTACTAAGTTTATTAGCTATTATAAACTAAATTTTTTCAACTCTTAAGTCCCCTATCATTCTCTCCATGCCACTTTATTATTATTATTTCCTGTAGCAGGAACAGGGGGTTTTAAACTTCTCTCCCCTACCCACCAAAAGAAGAAATTTCTTTTTTATCAGGATTGGAGACCTGAGTGTTTTTTCCAATCTTTCCATTCTTTTTATTTAAAAAGATTTTTAATGGAAACGTTCAAACATACATAAAATCGAATACAGTGAATTTCCATGTGTTTCTCATTCACTACTTGACCATTGACAGCTTGCCAATGTTGTTTTAACTCAACCTCTCTATTTTTTTTTCTAGCATATTTTAAAATAAATCCCAGAAGCCAGGTCATTTTACCGTTGACCTCTTTATCTTTGACAATAAGACCTTTTATCTTTGACAAAATCACTGTGTCATTGACACTTTTGGTAAAGACAAAAATAAATCTTTAATTTTATCTAATGCTCAGTCCCTGTTCAAATTTTCCCCATTGTCTCAAGATGTCTTTTTTGTTTGGTTTGTTCACATCAGCAATCAAACAGTCCCCAAATCTTTAATTCTTTGTAGTTAAAATTCCAGTTCCATCTGAGAGTGGTGTCCGCCTTGGAGGAAAGATGTGGCAATGATGTGGGTGTGGGCCATTGAGGCCGCCCTCGAAGGCAACATTCCCTCCTACGTTTTCTTTATCATACGCACAGAAGAGGCAGCTCCAATTCTCCATCCCCTCTCTGAACAGCCCTCCAGCCAGCTCAGTGGGGCCGAGTTTCTTCTGTGAGTCTGGGAAAGAGATGTTTGGGGTGAGTTATCTATGAAGTATGATAATTTGAGGTACTTTCTATTCCAGCTCAATATATTAAAGACTTTTTTACTCATTGCCTTGTGGGAGAGGGTGCAAGGTGAAATGGTGAAGAGGTATGTGGTATAGGGTCGGGACTTGGGGCAGTTCCTCTGCTGATCTTCATCTTTAATAAAATTAGCTGTTAGAGATTCTAGATCCTATGAAAGAAAAAGAAACAGATTACCACCAATCTTCTTTTCCTCCTTTCCTTTTCCAGCTTCTTCATGGTCAAAGGAAATGGCTGCAATTTATGCACTGAAATAAAGGGGGATGTTACAGGATTATTAAAGACTACCTTCCGACCAGCGGGAGACACCTCTAGTAATAAGAAATAACACCTATACAAGCAAGTGGGCAAGTGACTCAAAATCACATCTTGAGGCTCCAAATCCTACTCCTTCTAGGGAGGCATGTGGCCTCTGTGTGCCCCTCTTCAGGGAAGACCTTACAATTCTTGTCGTTAGCAGGCATTCTGTTGCATTTCATCAACCCCTCCCCCCTCTCTGTTGGGGACTTTGCCTTCTGTTGCTCCACAGAACATCATGATTGGGAGGGGGGCGTGAATCTATAATAGCTGGAAAACACACTTTAATTTATAGTAGAAACAGTGTTGTTGCCTCAGTGCAATTAGATTAAAAGTGTACAGAGCTAGCCCTGATTGCTGTGGCTCTGTTGGGCATCGTCCTGCTAGGTGAAGGGTAGTTGGTTCAATTCCCAGTCAGGGACATGCCTGGGTTATAGGTTTAGGGTGTACGAGGCAGGCAACTGATCAGTGGTTCTCTCCGGCCTTGATGTTTCTCTCCCTCTCTGTCTCCCTCCCTTCCCTTCTCTCTAAAAATGAATAAATAAAATCTTTAAAAAAAGCATACAGAGTTAATAATAACTGAAATTAATTAGTACTTATCACATGTTGTATATTTACCAGAGCTGTGTTAGCAAAGTATCACAGACAGGGTGGTTCCAACAGCAGAAATGTGTTGTCTCACAGATTTGGAGGCTGGAAGTCTGAGATGAAGGTGCCAGCAGGGTTGGTTTTCCTGAAAGGCTGCTGGGGAGGCTCTTTCTGGCTTCTCAGCTACTTTCTGGTGGATGGCACTGATCTTAGGCTTTCCTTAGCTCGTGGAAGCATCTCCCAATCTCTGCCAACACCTTCACCACCTGTTGTCTCTGTGTGCATGTCTCTGTGTCCTAATTTCGTTTTATAAGGATGCCAGTCATATTAGATAGATTAAGGCCCACTGGAATGACTTCATGTTGACTAATCACACCTGCAATGACCCTATCTCCAAATAAGATCACGTTTTGAGGTACTGGGGGTTAGGATTTCAACATATGACATGGACTTCAACCTATAACATGTGGCAATACTTTGCAAATATTTTGTGATTTTAGTCTCACAACAGCACTGTAAGGTAGATAATGTTACCCTCATTTTGAAGATGAGGAAATTGAGGCTTAAATAATTCAGTAGTTTGTTCGTGATTGCACAGCCAGTAAGTGGCAGAAACAGGATTCAGAACTTAGACACTCTAATTCTAGAACCCAACATTTAAAAAAGATTTTTAAATTTATTTTTAGAGAGGGGGAAGGGAGGGAGAAAGAGAGGGAGACAAACATCTACCAGTTGCTACTGGAATGCCCCCTCCCAGGAATGGCACCAGCAACCTTTTGCTTTGTGGAATGACGTCCAACCAACCGAGTCACACCGGCTAAGGCCCCGAATCCAGGATTTTAATGACTTCTTTATACCGTCTTATTTCTCCTTATAGCATTTTTTACTTTCCATTCTCTTCCTGGCAGGAACTTACTTGCCAGACAATAATGAACATTAATAGGAATTTCTATGGTACCCGAACACTGCCACCTGGTGGTGAAAGCAAAGCAGTTTCCAACTTTTTGGCAAAAGTTGCATTGCACTGAATGATCACTGGCCTTTCCCCCTAATTACACCAACACAGTCAAGCAATTGTGAATTCTTCTTGATCTTGCTTTGAGCCAAACATGTCATATGTGAAAAAATAAGAACAGAACAACACAAATTTTGAGCTGTTCTGAAAGGATCTAAATTTTGCTGCCCCTGAAGGGATCTAAATGTTACTAATTAAAAGATGTAACCCACCACAGAAAACATGAGTATTTATTTTGTGATACTATATATTGAACAGCTGTATATTTTCAAAACCTATGTGTTTTTAAGACCTAACCTGGTTGTCTCCTGTTTGAAGAACTGGTTTCTCCTGATGTCCTCGCTTTGATGACTCATTCAGACACCATTTCTTTGGCTGTTTAAACTCAGAATTTAAAAATAGCTCAAGATTAATTAGCAATTATTAACCATTCACTGCTGTTTGAAAGAAAAACAGAGAAGCTGGCTCTGTTGCTTTTCCATCTCTGGCTGTGCAGTCTCCTAGGCCTTCATTTGGCACTTTTCTACAGTTTGTGCCCACCATTTGCTGAGTCTTACCACAAGTTTGGATGTCAAGTGGAATGACATGCTCAACAATAAGCTAGAAAAAAATCATATTGAAATCAACTAATTTTAGAGCTTATGTATTCTAGATCACATATTTGTTTGTGTTCACAGGGGAGCAAGTTGAAATCCTGGAAGAAGGGGATGGCTGAACTGACTTTTGAAGGGTGATGGTCCTAATCAGAAAGTACTCATCATGGCTCCCTGTAACCTTCAAGGACATGACCAACGTGGGGTGTGGGCACTGAGCCTGAGCCAGGGTGGACGGGGCACAGAACACTGATTGACAGCTTTAACGATTCATTTTTGTGTGGGTCAAAAGCTTTCAACCACAACATCGGCATACTGCCAGTAATATGTTACTAATAATTATAGTAGCACTGTTTGCAAATGCTTTCCCTCAAACAATTTCAAAGTAAGTAAGAAGTTGCAAGTACAGTACAAAGAACCTTCCCCCTGCACCCCGCAGATGTAAGTTGCCATCCTGATGTTGCCTCATCCCTTAACACTCTTATGTGTGTTTCCCACAAGTAAGGACGTTCTCTGAGATCACCTCAGTTCAACCATCAAGATCAAGAAGCTAACTAATATATGACTGCTATCTAGTTGTCAGACCTCACCCAAGATTGTTCAGATGTTCCAATAATTTAATAGAAAAAAGTGCTCTTCAGAACGAAACAGTGCCTTTACTATTTAACTCTCTGTTCTTGCTTTCACTCTAGAGCAGTTCCTCAGTCTTTTTTGACTTTGAGCACCTTGAGACTAAAGTATGCAGTTATTTCATAATATGTTTTTGCCTGATGCTTCCTCATAATTAGACTCAGATTATGCATCTTTGGCAGAAATATTACAAATGTGATATTGTTTTTATTTCATTGTATCTGAGTAGGTGGTAGGAAATTTCAATTTGTCCCATTATTGATAGTGTTCCTATTGATCATTTGATTTAAGGTGGTGTTTGCATGCAGTGTAATGAGTGAGCATTTTGTGGAGGACGTACCGTGGTACCTTGGTACTAGTTGTAAATTCATCCTGGAACTCCTGACGAGTTCTAAAACTGATGAATACCAAAAGGTGAAGCATTTTCTCTTGTGTGGCATGTTATGACTCATATAAATTCTAGCAAGTGCCATGAGTCCCAAGCAAGCGTTGGGTGCTGAAACAATTTATTTCTCCTCAAAACATGACAAGTACAGGGTTTGATGATTTCTGAAGTTGACGAGTACCAAGGTATGACTGTGCTTTGAAACTACATAAATTCCATACCTCATCAAAATGTCAATTTATTCTTTTATATCAGTGTGGACTCATGGTTTCCTACTTATCCAATAGGTCATAACTCATCACCATAATTATTTATTTTGATGCTCAAATTGTCCCACATTGGGCCAGTGTAGGCCACTACAAGCTGGCCTGTAATACAGGGTCAGGCAGAAGTAGTGCCTGCTTGAGTGTGGTTGGTAGAGTAATAATAGTATGGGTGTAGTATTGAGTGTGATAGTGTTATGTTACAGAATTACTTGCTTATGATTTTGCAGTAAAAGATTTTGTAATAAAAGAGGCATTACTTGTGCCAGATGCTGCTGAGCTAATTGTATTTTTTCTGTTCTGGCCAGGAAATCAGCCATTTTTTCAAGGAGTTCTGGTTTCTTTCCTTTACTTTTTCTAATTTTTGTAAGATTTTTTTTTTTGAGACACAATGATGACAATTGTTGGGAAGCAAAATCTCAAATGCTCCTTAGAATGGTAGTTTGCATTTTCTTTTATGAATTTTTTATTTAAAATTTTTTTTTTACTTTTAAAATAATTTTAAATTTAGGAATAATAGATTCAGATTTACAGGAAAATTGTGAACATAATAGAGTCCCCATATACTCAGTATTCTATTAAAATTTTTTTAAATTATATTTTATTTGTTATGCTATCACAGTTGTCCTGATTTTTCCATGCCCCCCTCCACCCAGCAACCCCCACTTTCTCAGGTGACCCCCACACCATTGCTCATGTCTGTGGGTCATGTGTATAAGTTCTTTGGCTACTCCATTTCCTATATTGTACTTTACATCCCCATGGCTATTCTGTAACTACCTATTTGTACTTCTTAATCTCCTCACTTCCTCACCCATTCCCTGATACCTGCCTTCCATTTGGCAACCATCAAAACCCTGTCTAACTATGATTCTGCCTCTGTTCTTGTTTACTTAGTTTATTTTTAAACCCAATTGTTGTTAGATATGTATTTATTGCCATTTTACTGCTCATCATTTTGATCTACTTCTTTTTCTTAAATAAGTCCTTTTAACATTTCATATAACACTGGTTTGGTGATGATGAACTCCTTCATTTTTTTCTTGTGTGGGAAGCTCTTTATCTGCCCTTTAATTCTAAATCACAGCTTTGCTGGGTAGAGCAGTCTTGGCTATAGGTCTCTACTTTACATGACTTTGAACATTTTTTGCCAATCCCTTCTAACCTGCAAAGTATTTTTAGAGAAATTAGCTGACAGTCTTATGAGAACTCCCCTGTAGGTAACTAACTGCTATTCTCTTGCTGCTTTTAAGATTTTCTCTTTATTTTTAACCATTGGAATTTTAATTATGATGTGTCCAGGAGTGGGCCTATTTGTTTTTTATTTTTTATGATTTGAAGTTCTTTATTTCACAATATGTATAAATTGAAGTTTGTTTAAGTACAGTTTTCTGCCTTTTACTCCCAGCCCAGCCCACCCACCCCACCAACCCATCCCTCCCTACTTTCCTTCCATTTCCACCCCCACCTAGTTTTTGTCCATGTGTCCTTTATATTTATTCTTGTAAACCTTACATTTTTCCCCTGAAATTTCCTCCCCTGTCCCCTCTGGTCACTGTCAGCCTGTTCTCCATTTTAGTGTCTTTGGTTATATTTTGTTTGTTTGTTTGTTTGTTTTGTTGTTTGGGTTCCTGTTAAAGGTGAGATCATGTGGTATTTGTCTTTCACTGCCTGGATTATTTTGCTTAGCATAATGCTTTCCAGTTCCATCCATGCTGTTATAAAGGGTAGCAGCTCCTTCTTTCTCTCTGCTGCATAGAATTCCATTGTTTAAATGTACCATAGTTTTCTGATCCATTCGTTTACTGATGGACACCTACGTTGCTTCCAGCACTTGGTTATTGTAAATTGTGCTGCTATGAACATTGGGGTGCATAGGTTTTTTGGATTGTTGTTTCAGGGTTCTTAGGATATAATCCTAGCAGTGGAATTGCTGGGTCAAAAGGCAAATGCATTTTTATTTTTCTGAGAAAATTCCATATTGTTTTCCATAGTGGTTGTACCAGTCTGTGATCCCAGCAACAGTGCACTAGGGTTCCCTTTTCTCCACAACCTCTCCAACACTTGTTTGTTGTTTTGTTTATGACGGCCACTCTGACTTGTGTGAAGTGGTATCTCACTGTGGTTTTAATTTGCATCTCTCTGATAGGTAGCAATATTAAGCATCTTTTGATGTGTCTCTGGATCCTCTGTATGTCCTCCTTGGAGAAGTGTATAGTCAAGTCCTTTGCCCATTTATTAATTGGGTTCCTTGTCTTCTTAGAGTGGAGTTGTGTGAGTTCTTTATATATTTTGGAGGTTAAACCCTTGTCTGAGGTATCATTGGCAAATATGTTTTTCCATACAGTTGGTTCTCTTTTCATTCTAATGCTATTTTCCTTAGCTGTGCAGAAGATTTTTATTTCGATGAGATCCCATTTGTCTATTCTTTCCTTTATGTCCCTTGCTCTAAGACACATATCAGTAAAAATGTTGCTGCATGAAATA